CATCCGCTAAATGTTCTTGCATCAACTATGGACTTCCTTTTTTTCCAGGTAGATTTATACTTGCCAAGATATCTTTATTAAAATGTGCGCAAATGATGTCCGGAGGTCTTCTTGACATAATTTAAAACCAATATATTTTTTTTAATTTAGCATTTCAAATTTCAAATTTATTTTATTTCGAATTTTGGAAACTTTAATATTAATATTAATATTAATTGGTTGAATTCGAAATCATTTTATTTTATTATTAAAAAACAAAAAAATTTTAGAAAATTTGTTCATTATTTACAATGAACTTATCTATATTATCTGGTATTTCATCAAGAACAAATCAACAAACATCGATGATTTGTTCTTCGATATTTACTAAATCTATTCTTTCTAATTTAATTTAATACAATTATTGAAAATTTCAATCAATTTTGCTTACCTATTTGGTTACCATAAACTATTGTTAAGTCTACTAAATTTTTACAATAATGTGCAATTGATTGAAATAGCTTTCCTAAAAGTTCATTATCATCTGGAAAAGTATTAATATTTCCATTGATATTAATAAATCGGCAATGAAATATTTTTCATATATTCTATTTTGATATCAGTAGCAGTTGGTATTAATGATAAAGTCTTTAAATTTTTAAGATTTGGTAATAATATATTATATATATCACGTGCTTCTCTGCTTGAATAACTAATTTATTGATTGTGAATGTGAGAGTATTGCATTTTTGAAATTATCTGATAAAGCTTGATCAATGTCTGAAAAAATGGTAAATTTCTTTATTTGGTTTTGTGCTTTAATTAGTTGAGTTCGACTATCTTCAAACTTTTTGTTGTATTTACTATAATACGTTTTTAATGATTGAATAAATTTGCAAGTACAGCTCACTCTCTCTATAACGGCCCTTTCTATAACGGCCTCTATTCTATAACGCGCTGTGAATCAGAACCCAAAACTTTACTATATAAAAACCTTACTATATAACGGTTTTCTTAATTAAAATTCCTATAGTGTATAACGGCCTGCCTCTGAAAATTCTCTCTTATGTTTTATATGTTGTCTATAACGGCCGACGATCATGATCTGAGGTAATCATTACCAAATTAAGAAATTCAGTGTGTCACAATTATTAATATTAATAATTTGAACGTGCTTATTGTCACAATTATTAATATTAATAATTTGAACGTGCTTATTGTCACAATGCTCCCACTCATTCTATTTCTGAATCAACAAATTTAATTAATGTAAGAGTTTACTTCTTACCAAACACAACAACATTTTTACAACCATGTGATGCCTGGATAATTAACAACTTCAAGGTGAACTACAAAAAATTTTTCTTGCAAAAAAATTAGTGATTATGAAGAGAGAAATGGTCAAGAATATGAAAAAATTTCAATTAAACATGCAATTAAATTTACAGCAAAAGTTTGGAAAAAAAGTTGCCAGTCAAACTATAGTTAACTGCTGGAAAAAACTGGTATTTTACCTGATTATGATATTAATTCCAACGAAATTGAAAATATGTCATCAATTTTAAATTCATTGAATGTAAGAGAACTCAATTATTTGCAAAATTTGATTGATGAACTTGCACTTCCTAATCCTATATCTGTGTCTGAATACATTGAAATTGATGACTCTCATGTAAGTGATGAATAAATCTAAATGACATAATTACAATAATTAATCCACCAGAAGAAAATGAAAGCCAGGAAGAAATAATTGAAGAACTTCCACCTGTTACAAATAAAGAAGCCTCGCCAGAAATAAAAACATTAGAAATTTACATTGAACAGCAATCAGAATTAAATGAGGATGGTTTTAAATTATTGAAAAGTCTTAAAAGAAAAATTAAAAAAATTGATTTTAACCCACAACAATAATCCACACTAGATAACTTTTTTAATATTGAATAAATATGCAAATTATAAATACACATTTTATTCTCATTTATTATTATTTCTAAAATTTTTTTAAAAAAATTTATATATTTTATATATATTACTGATATTTTTCACAAGTCAATTTAATCAAAACATATTTAAACCTTGTTTATTATATTTTATTTTTTTTAAAATAATTACATAGTAAAAATAAATAAATGATTTTAAAAAACAATTACCCCATATCTAATTAAATTAAACCATTTGAGCTGACAGATCACCACATTTTCTTTCCATGTGGCTGTTAGTTCTTAAGAATAATATTTAACAATTGTAACCTAAAAGAAATCAAAATGATAGAAGAGGTGAAGTGGTTAAGTAAGTCTTTTTACAGGGTGGTGTCATCTAAGGATACCGGCTGCAACTTTTGATGATGGTTGCTACCACCTTTGCATCATATAAAAATGATTGCAACCACTGGTTGCTACCACCTTTACGACCATTTTGTTTCCTTTTTTGGATTGCGACATGGAACACTAGTGTCATCATTCTGGTTTATTTAAAAAGGATGGCAATGGTGGTGACTACAACACATCATCATTCTAGTTCTTTATAAAAGAAATTATCAAAATGGATAAAAAAATATAAGATCTCACATACAATGTTGGGCATACTGACAAATACACATAAATTTATTTTCTATTCATTCCATTATGTTTATTATTTGTTTACCCATTTGAATGATATTTACTAACCTGTCTTTTTCTTTATTCAATCACCAATCTGCCTTTTCCTTAACACTCATCACTACTTATAATCAAGAACTAGGTGAGATTAATTTTCATTATTTGTTGCATTCCTTCATCATGCTTCTTCATTTCCTTTCTTCTACAATTTAATATGTTTATTAACCTATTTTTTTTTCCTTTCCTCGTGTGATTTTTTTTTCATATTGGTCAATTTGTTCATTTGCTTATCTGTTATGGCTTTTTTTTTCCAATCCTTTATCATCCATTTTAATTGGTCCATTAATATCTTTTGAACAATTACCAATTCTCCCCTTGATTTCTCTTCCTTTATATTAAAGAAATGCTTCACAACATTAATAACACTGCAAATTCAATAGAAAGTGACAAGAAAAAAAAAGAAATTTTCATTATCTCCATCATAAATTTCATAAAGATGCAAAAACTAATGACAATATATGGGGCATACTGCAACAAAACCAGACAAAGTGAACATTGGTATTACCAAGGATTTCAGGGATCAAAATTTAGTTATCTTTAATGCAATTATAATTAACAGTTTTATAATATCCCATTTGTGATATATAGAACTACCCCTATATAAAAATAGTTAATATGAAATTAATTTATATCAGGTCTACTATGGAACCCAAGAATTATAGCACCATTAGAAGTATTTTGAAGAAAGAACAAGGTGAAAAAATTGCACCTTACATTTTCAAAATAAATGATACTCAAACACTGGAAGCTTATCTAAGAAAAGAAAAGATTACTTATGAAATTTACCAAGAAGAAAGAAAACTAATAAATATTGGAAAAAGAAAGCATCATGATGATGCATTATTACCTAATAAAAAGCAAAAATCCTTAAAAGGAAAATAACTACTATTTTCAATTTATACAGAGGGAAATTTCCTCAATTACTTTTTCATTTTCAATCAAGATCATCTTTTAGTCTCTTTAACTTCAATATATGCAATTTGACCATTATGTTGATCTTTTAATTTCCTGTTTTCTTCTTCTAGTTGCTTAATTTTTTCTTCTAAGCTCTTTATCTTATTCAATAACTCTTGTTTCTGTTTTTTACTTCACTCTTCTGATTTTTCCTGAAATTTGGCTACTTCCTCTCTTTCAACTTCTAGGGCTTCCTCTGCAGTGGCTAACTCTTCTCTTAAAGAATTTATTTGCCTTTCATAAAAAGCAGACATACTCTCTCTTTCCTGAGGCAAATTAGGAAGTTCCTTTTCATTTCTTTCTTCTTTACAATCACAAGTGTATCTAGTCTTTAATCTTCCGCAACTGCACTTGGGCAACTCATCATTTTCAAACTTTTCTTTACAACTCTCACAAACCTTATCACTTTCAATCATTTCACCAGTCACTTTGCTTCGTGTTCTGATTTGGCATACTGCTTTTTTTAAACCAAAGCAAAAAACGCAAGTAGAATTACTGCTATGTCATTCTTCTAACTCCAAAATAGTGTAAAGTAATTCTCTCATAGTAGTAAAGCAAACTAATTAACTTTTACTTCTATTTGAGCAGTAAATTCTTGGGTTTGATGTTTTTTATTTTCTACCAATTGTTGAAGTTTTTGGAACTTTGTTTTAATTCTTGAACCTAATTTTTGGAAAGTATTTTGTTTTTTAGGTAGAGCAGGCAAGGCTTTTCTTTCTGAATAAAGTTGTCTATTTAGTTCTTCCTCTCTTTCCTCACTTCTTGCTAACATTTTTGATTTCTCTTCTGACTCCTCTTGTAGTTTTGTATTTTTTGTTACCTCCTCTTCAAGCATTTTATCAGATTTTTGTAGCATTAGTGATTTTTGTTTGATTTCATCATTCAAAAGATCTTTTTGTCAGTTTTTTCATTCTTCAACTGTATTAATTGCCTCAGCTAGGTCTTTAGAAGTTTGATATAGTTTTTCAATAGCTGTGAAAATAATTTTATTTAAATTTTCCCCTATTTCTACTTTTTAATTCTTTTAACTCTCCTAAGTCTCAGTTATGAATTTGCTCATCTCAAGAAATATCATCAATTTCTTCTTGTTCCTTATGTCAAACTGACAAGGTTTCTGTAAGTTTTGTTTCTAATTCTTCAATTTGCTCTTTATACTTGTTCAATTCTTTTATTTTCTCCTCATATTCTCACTTTTGTTGACTTAATTCGTTGTTCTCTATTCTTAAACCCTTAGCTTCTTTGTCAAGTTCTATTCAAGAATAAAGTGTAGATTTATGTAAGTAAATAAGACGAATATAGGATACCTTAAACTTTTTGTCTTTTAAGTGTTCTAATGCAAAAGATTGGTATTCAAAATAATCTTGAATTTCCCTTACACATTTCTCCTCTAGATTCCTATCTAAATTACCAACTGCTTTTCTTATTTCTTCTTTGGTTAAGATTATTTCTTTTCTGGGGATTCCTTGTTCTCTTCCTTGATCATTATCTGCTAATTGTTTTTCTAAATCAGCAATCTGACTTAGCAATTCTTTATTGACTTGTTGCGATTCTATAATATTTACCATGATTTTCTTTTTTTTATTTGTTTTATTTATTTGCTCTTTTAATATACTAATATACTTATATCCTTTTTATGAGTGCATATTAAGTATATAAATTATTTTAGTATCTTTTACTTTAAAACTAACAATATTTGTCAAAAGATTAAATTTATTAAAACTTGATAACAGCAAGGAAGTGATGAAGGTGTTTTTGTTCTAAATATTTTATTCACTTCTGGTATAGAATGGTCTTGGACAAGTAATATTTTTGTATTCATCTTTCACAAATGGGTGAATATTATGATAAAGATATTCTTGTCTTTTGTAATCCAAAGAAGGTGGTGTTAACACTAAAATAGATAAAACTCTAATTTCTTCCAAAATATCTACTTTCTTGGTTTTCATTAAACTGAATTCAGTAAAAGGTCCATTAGCAACTTCT